GGCGGCCGTCCCGGAAACAAGCTAAAGACGGCGGTATTGAGATAGACGCCGCCGCGGTAGAAGAGGTAGTCCTTCTTATCAATTTCAAGAACTAGTCTCAACGGTCGTCATATCTAATCTTAGGGGTACTCGGGGTGCCCCTAATTTACCGCATGGTCAAACCAGAGTACCGTCATCGCACGGACTTGTCTTTGAGCCTAAGTCCCGAAACCGTAGATTTAAGGCGGCGCACTGCTTGTGGCCGCCCGACAGTTAGCCCGGACCACTTCTCGACGCCCCCGTCAAGCCCTAGCAACATATGTCAAACGAAACGGATGAGCTTCAGGAGAATGGCCCGTAAAGGTCGCCCACGTCGGCGTTCAATTGTCTTATGTTTCAGTTTGTTATGAGTCCTGGGGGTAAGAAGATGTTTCTTGACTCTTTTGTTTCTTCTAGTTTTTGGCCCCGACATGATCCTTTTTTTTTTCTGTCCTTGCCCCGAGAAGGGTGCGGACCCACCCGTACGTCTAACCCGAACTCTCCGTCTAGCTCGCTTGAGGACGAATAACCATCTCTTCTCTCTTCCTAAAGCTAACCCTTTGACCTTTCCTCCGTATTTTTGAATCTTGACTCTCCTTTCCCGTCAGGTGTAGTCCGATCATTCGGTACTTGTCCTCGTAAAGATTAACTAGAAATCTCTCGGCGCACCTCTGCTCTGTCATTGTCAGAGCCCCAGCTACTATCGGACGCTCGAGAGGGATGCGTGAAAGTCCATCTGCCACGGCATTTTTAGTACCAGATACTCTCTCAACCATGTAATCGTATAGCCGAATCCGTATTAACCATCGGGCGATGGTCGAGTCCGTCAGGCTAAAGTCCTTCTGGAGGACAGAGGCAACCGCGGTGGGGTCTCCTCTCAAGATGAACCGTCGTCCATAGATATAGTGTCAGAACGTGTGTAGACACCAGAGAACAACTAACACTTCCTTCTTGAATTGACTGTAGTTACGCTCAGCCGTATTAAGTGTCATACTCTCAAATCTTAACGGTCTTTCCTTCCATCCAGCGTCCTTCTGAGACAGCAAGCCACCCACTGAACATGGTCCAGCATCCGTGGATACTATGAAGGGTCTCTCGGTCTCATCGTCAAAGAATGGCACACCCAACACGCGTCCTCCTTCCTTAAATTCGTCTTTAAGTTCTTGCATAGCAAGTTCTTGCGAAGAATTCCAATAGAAGTTCTCAGTCTTTCGAAGGAGTAAC